AGCATCGTCAAAACAGTTGCAGAAACTTGCTGAGCTCCGCACTCCTCTCCGTGCCCGCCGCAGCCGAGCTTGGAGTTTGCTGGAAGCGGCTGCAGCCCGGCCCCGCCTCCTTCCCCGTGTCCAGCCCGGGGCGGGGGCGCCTGCAGGAGTAGCTTGCAAATGCTGCCCGCACCGGCCGCGTTCAGTGGAGCTGCGTGCTCTTGGGTCCCCTGAGCCCTCCAGGCTGGGCAGGGTCGCCTGCTGCCCTGTTTGGCACCCCCATTTTCCATTAGAAACGTTGCTGTCCCGATGTAAAAACGGCGGGTGGTGACTGTAGGCTTCTGAGAGCCCCGATGTGAAGGTGCGCTTTCCTGGAGCCTTGATGGGACAGTGAGCCCTAGCACTAGCAAAAAGCAGGGGCATTAGCGGCTTCAAGCCCTACCTGATGCGGCACGTTTGCTTTTCCTTTCTGCTGTTCTTTATTAGCTGAGTGTTAGAACTGCTCTCCAAGCTGAGAGGCAGCGAGGGAGCCCTGGCCCCTCAGTGGATGTGACCCTGAGCTCTAGGACACAGCCGGCTCCTGTCCAGAAGAAGGGGCAGTTCCTTGCAGTCCGGAAAGAGAGGGAGCGGTCATTTGATTGACAGCAGGGAGCCCGCTGGTCCTCCTCCCGGAAGACCAACCCAAGTCTCAGAGCCCATCCTAGAACAGGGAGAAGAGTGCAGGGGTGGCTGTCAGCTCCAAGGTGCACTGAGCACCTCTTCTTAACGCCATACACCTTTTGTTTCATTGTTTTTCATTTTACTTTTGCCTTTTAATTGTGATAAAAATACATTTCATCATACTCAATTTTAAGTGTTCAGTGGCATTAAATTCATTCGTGTGTTGTGTAGGAGGCTCTTAAAATGATACTTAAAAGAACTACTTAGAGCTGTGTGTAGTGCCACTCAGGCAGCGGAGGCAGGACTGCTGCAAGAGCGAGGCCAGCCTGAACTACATAGTGAGACCCTGTCAGAAGAAATACTCAAAGAATTGATACATTTTTCCAGTGTATATTCGCACCTCTCCTCCCTTCCTGCCAAAATTGGGACCCTTTAGTTTTGCAACTGCTTTCCCCGCTTTGCCCTCCCTAAGGTTTCGAATGTGTTCCAAAAATGAGGATCTTGATGAAACCACTTGGTTTGCAGTATGGACAGGATGGCTTAGGATCTTCCTTTTGGTCAACATCTCACATCCTTTCAAGCTCAAGGAATTTGTTGAGTCAACAACCCGGATGTGCTTTGCTGTTGGGTATCAAAGGGAGGTGAGAAAATAAGGAAGTCAAGTCCCTGATCTTGGTGAAAGCCAGGTAGAGCTCAGAAGAGCAGCACACCTCTCCCTCACATTCCTGCTTGGGCCTCGATCACACATCAGAAGGCTGACTTGCAGAAGTAGCTTGGCCTGCAGCTCCAGCCCTGCTACTCCACAGGGCCCTGCCAAGCTCCATCCTGGGCCTGCAGAAGGAAGGAGAGGATTAGAGAACCAGAGAGGGAAGACGTTGGCAAAGTCTGAAGGTGTGTGACGTTGAACTTTTGTAGTGAGATCTTAAATTTCTTGGATCTTTCAAGCCTAAGAAGGCCCTAGGGACCTGCTGCTCCAAACTCTTCCAAAATTTCTGAAGAAAAATGGTTGCTGAGGCTCATGGGAGTCACGTCAACCTGGAAGACAGAGTCAGACTGACTGCTTGACTGCTGCCACCCGGCCACCGTCATTCGTTCAGCAAGGGTTGATGGAGCCCTTTTTGTGTGGCAGCCATAGTTGTGTGCCCTGTTGACCCAGTGCTGGAAGGAGAGGCGAAGACCCCTGCCCTCACTTAGCTTATGGTGGGCGGGGATGTTCTAAGCACGGTGCTTGCATTAACACATTTTGCCCTTTGACCGCCTTCTCTGGGATGTTATTATCCCCATTTTAGAGGAGGTTGAGGCCCAGAAAGGAAGTCACAAAGCTTACATCCTGATTTAACGGCCAGACTCAGGAGCGCAGTGGCCTCAGCGATGAGGGCTATATGCACATGTGTGAAAAAGTGTGTTTATTCTTACAGCTCTGTTCTGAGAGCAGCTGCTCAAAACAGAACCCAGGAACTTCCTATTTCCCATCTCCTCATTTGTCTTGAGACGGAGTCGGCGGGGATCAAGTCAGACGTTCTGTGAGGGTTACTTCTTATTAGAAATCCACTTCCTCCGGTTCACACCCCTCGCCTGGTAGGTGCAGGCCAGCCTTGAGTTGTGCCGTTGGAGTTTTACAAAGCACTTTCGTTCACTTCCCTTGAGCCTCAGCAGGGTCCTTTGAAGTAGATATCTTTGCCTTTACTTCAAAGATGCACATGCTTGGGCTCAGAATCGTCAAGTGATTTCCGCGGTGTCACTCAGTGAAGCTGGGACCCAGGCCCAGGCCTTCTAAGCTTATTTCCTGCTAGTGACAAAGGCTCAGTTAATTCAGAGAGAACTACACTGGCCCTTCATGACTACAGCAGACGTTACTCACTCAGATGGGCCTGTCAGATGTTTAACTGGGTAAGGACATAGATTGCTATCTTATATCTCAGTTAAGAACCTGATTCCCAGAGCTTTCTCTTACTTTCATTTAAAAAACAAGTGTCCAATGGGAAAGGCAGGGAGGGCCTCTGATTTGTCATAGTAACCTGGATTAGGGCATCTTTCTCAGAGAATGTCTGTCTGATTTTTCCCCCTCAGCCTGTCAGAAGTAAGAATTTTAGAGAAGAGACTTTGTGTGCCTCTGAGTACGCTTTTCTGCATTAAGTAAATTTATTGGAAAAATGTAAAAAATGATGGCATTTGGTCCCACAGTCTCATGCTGGGGTATGGACAGCTTTTGGACCTCCTGGAAACAGGTTTGTGAGCTCTGGTGCAGACCTGTGGTGAACTTTCCTTTCTCCTTCCATCTCTTTTTCCTTATCTCTTTCCTTCCAAATATTTTCCCCATAAGGGAGAACCATATTAGAAAAAGAAAAAGGACCGGGAATTTAGCTCAGCAGTTCGGGCCTGCCTTGCAAGCGCAAGGACCCGAGTTCAATCCCTGGTACCAAAAAAAAAGAAAAGAAAAAGAAAAAGAAAGAATGTGATACTGCCCCCCCCATTCAAAACAAGAGCAGATTTATTAAGTCTCAGGGAATGCATACTTTAACATATGTTCTTGTAACCATCTTACTGAATGGGAAAATACTAAGAAGTCTGAGAATCTTTTCGGCTGCTCAGATATTTGGATCTAGGCACATATGATAAATAGCGAAATGAAGTCACAGACTTTTCATCCTAAAGTTAGACTGAAGACTGCTTTGGGTAGTTGGTGTCTACTGTGACTTCATTCCAGCAATGGGAAGGGGACACGGAGGGGAGAAGTCACCTTCCTGGTTGGGGAGGGAGGAGCAGGCAGCGTCTTTGGCATCGGCCCCTTATGCCCTGGGGCATTTTCCAGGCTCCACCTGTGACCTCGTGGCAGGAGCACACGCCTCCCTGAGAACTACCCAGAACTCTTCAGAACAGAAAGCCTTGTGGCCTAACATTAAGTGCCCAAGACTAAGCAAACCCCTTCTTGAAGAGTAGGATCTGAAATCGCTTTTGGACCCTTCAAAGTAAACTGAATCACGTTTTCCAAGCACAAACGCCCCCATGACTCCCTTCAACCAGACATCATTATTTTATTTACTGAAGTTATCACCAGTACCAGCAATTTACTCTGTGGGGGGGTACCGGGGATCAAAACTCAGGTCCTTGTGCAGCAATTTACTTTTAAGAAATAGTGACAGGAGAGCATGTTGTATGTTTTTTAAACAAACTTTACGGTGTGCTCTACAGTGTTCACGGCACTGCTGTGTTGGACCCTGATCTCCAGAAGCTGCTCACCTTGCCTTCCCCGAAACTCTGCACCTGTTAAGCAGCAACTCTCATTTTCCCCTTTCTGCTTCTGCAGCAAGCACTGTTATATTGCCTACTTCTCTGGGTTTGACTGCTTTAAATACCCCACAGAGAGCAGTTTGGAGATTTCCTTTGATCATTCAATCGATCAATCAACCAAATCATCTATGGCTTTATAAGAGACACCAGGCAGGACAATGCAGCTATGTTTAACAATCATACTTAATAGGTCTATTTCAGGAGCGAATGATCCGAAGTCCCAGACATCTGTGTGGTGATAGTGTAAAAATGTCTGAAAGGGCAGATACTCCTTCCTCCTCTCCTTTTGAAGAGGGAAAAGTGTAAGTTCCATTTCTATTGT